ACAGCAAGGTAGTTCACCCATGAAAGCCAAATATATGAAGTTATGGCATTGCTCCTGTAGCTAACTAAGTTTGGTTCTGTACTGTAGTGAAATGCAGCTGATCAACCTTCTGCCTTTTTCCCTTCCCTCCATCCCATGTCTTTTCTTCTGGAGAGTTGAAGGAGTGCATATGCCCAAAGGTTGCATCGTAAGACTTCAATTTAAACTGATTAAAGAAAATTACTTATATGGAAAATTCTGAGATCCATATATGTCTGTCACTTGGACGAAAGAGAGAATCCTGATCCATGGCACTGACCAAAGAAGTACACAAATTCAAACACAGAGGATGTTAGATCTAGCAAAGATAAGCAACATTTACAGGAACGCAATTTCCCTTGTGGTTTATTGCTCAAGATGATTATTGTTAAAAATTATATCTACATTGTTTTCCCAAGCAATTTCCAAATTAAAGTATTCTAGATACAAAGCTGTTAATGTAACTGCAGACACCACAAAAGCTTGGTTAAACACCATAAAAGCAGGCTGAAATACGTTAAGCCTGACTACTTAATTATTAGCAACTAAAGTGCATTAGTTCTCGTCACACTATTTGCACTGAGCCTTCGTATCTAATCCCTTCTTCTGGCTTTTTCTCCCATTGAGCTGTAGGCCTTTGGGCTTGGGAAATGGCAGGAGGGAGGCGCTGCACTGCTGCCCTGTAGCAGCAGGCTCAGGGCAGGCCTCTACATGGCCTCAGAGTGAGATCAGATGCCCCAGGCTGAAAACAATGGAATTTTCCTCCCTCAGGTAGTCTATGAAAGGGGCTCGGGGTCCCAAATTTAGTAGGGATTCAGAGGCCCTGGTTCCTTTGAAGAGAACTCCCAGAGGAGCATAATGCAAACAGAAACTGTGGAGACGTGCCTACATCTACTGTTTAGGCCCTAGACAAGAAAAAAATGGCCAGTAATAACCATCAGAGTACTCCAGATTTGTGCTGCTCAGAGGCAGCTTTGTGCCCAAAAGGAGCACACTGTATGGAGCTGACACAAGAGGAGAATGAAGGCTCCTTCTCTGAAAAAAGAACAGAACCTTCAGGTTCTGAAATAGGTTGTGCTCACTGGGTCTAGCTCCAAACAATTGCCATGTAAGAGAAGATATAAATCTATAGAAATATTTTCCATGTTCACTGTTTTTTTTTTCAGTCAAATTAAATATCCAAATAATAAAACAAAAGATATTGGATGTCCTATAGACATAAGAAGGCAGAACTACCTGGTTTAGTAGGTATTTAAAAGCAATACTGCATAATTTACAAATGAAGTAAATGAAACACTTCCCCGAAATTTGGACCATTCATTTTGGTTTTATTCCTAAAGACATTTGAACAACTTTTGGCATGCATTGCTATTGCTGGCTTCATTCAGGTTGGCCAGAGTCCAGCTAGTTCTCTCGTCCGAGTCAAATGACCAGCAATGATCATTCACCACTGAATCATTCAGTTCTGCTTCACTTTTTCATTCTGCTGCAGAGCACAAAATTTCTTATGTCCAAAAGAGGTTCAAGGTTTAGCTTCCATGCCCATATGTAGTTGTCTCTGGATCACAAAGGCTTTGGGATCCTCATAGGAAGCTTCATTAGCCACCCATCCTTCTTCACAGCAGGAACATGCGCCTCAAAAAACGTCAAGCTGTGAACATTTCAGTAACAATGTTGTGATTTTTCATAGAATTTTACATCATGGAGAACTTTTAGTTTCATTGTGTGGCTACAGCAACTCCTATTATTAAATATCTGTAACAGTTTTTTTCTGACCTTTAGAATTATAGAGAAAATCATAGAATCATTATGGTTGGAAAAGACCTTCAAGATCACCCACTCCAACTGTAAGCCCTTCAACACCCTGCCTGCTAAACCATGTCCCTAAGCGCCTCATCTACACGTTTCTTGAACACTGCCAGGGACAGTGACTCCACCACTTCCCTGGGCCGCCTGGTCCAATGCTTTGCCACTCTCTCCATGTACAAATTTTTCCTAATATCTAACCTGAACCTATCCTGGTGCAACTTGAAGCTATTTCCTCTTGTCCTATTCGTAGTTATTCTGAAGAAGATATCGACCCCTGCCATAGTACAACCACCTTTCAGATAGTTGTAGAGAGCAATATGTTATCCCCTGAGTCTCCTCTTCTTTATACTAAATAACACCAGCTCCCTCAGCCGCTCCTCCTCAGGTCTGTGCTTCGTTGCCATTCTTTCAACATGCTCCAGCACCTCAATATCCATCTTGGAGTGAGGGGCCCAAAACTGAACACAGTGTTGTAGATGCAGCCTCACCAGCGTCGAGCACAGGGGAACGATCACTTCCCCGGTCCTGCAGGCTACACTGTTCCTGACACAGGCCAGGAGGCCATCGGCCTTGGTCAACTGGGCACACTGCTAGCTCATGTTCAGTCAGCTGTCAGCCAACACCCCCAAATCCTTTTCTGCCACACAGCTCACAGTGTTGTAGATGCAGCCTCACCAGCGTCGAGCACAGGGGAACGATCACTTCCCCGGTCCTGCAGGCTACACTGTTCCTGACACAGGCCAGGAGGCCATCGGCCTTGGTCAACCGGGCACACTGCTGGCTCATGTTCAGTCAGCTGTCAGCCAGCACCCCCAAATCCTTTTCTGCCACACAGCTCTCCAGCCGCTCTGTCCCAAGCCTGTAGCGCTGTGTGAGGTTGTTGTGACCAAAGTACAGGACTCAGCATTTGCCCTTACTGAACCTCATATGATGGCCTCAGCCCTTCAATCCAATCTGTCCAGATACCTCTGCAGAGCTTTCTTACCTCAAGCAGATCAACCCTTCCTCCTAGCTTGGTGTCATCTCCATACTTGCTGAGGGTACACTCAATCTCCTCATCCAGGGGGTGGGTTTCTCTACCCTTTACCCTTTTTTTACAAAGACCATATTGTTTTACACAGGGACATGTTCCCTGCTAAAGTATAATGACGTGACTATGATGCTTGGGCAAGAAATTTCTGTCCTGCAACAGTCTTGACCGCTCCAGGTTAACACACACACACACAAACAAATTCATATATACGAGAAATTTGAAAAATAATAACCATTTCACTTCAATATTGATCTTATTAGCATTATTTATTTCCATTGATTTATAATCCAAATAAATGAAATTTCAAGGAAAGATTTTTGTTTAGTATCTTAATGTTCATTGAAACCATCTCCCCAGGAGAGGGGAGCTGACAAATTCGCAGCAAAATATGAAATGAAATATGATGTTCTTTCTTTCTCAGCAAGCTGTAGTACTTATATGGAGTTCTTTTCAGTTTTACTTATAGCCCAATTAAAGAAACTGAGTTAACTGATACTCTGTCAGCTGGAATGACGTTCTTGTGGCCTTCAAATTTATTTGATATATGTGAGAGAACAATCAGTACTACTACATTTATATTATGTGCTTTTCATATAATTATATCATAATTATATATATCATTATATACAAAACAATATATGTTATATAATTATAATTGTTATATTATAAGCTTGTATGCCTCTAATATAGTATAGTATACACTTTATAATATATTAAATATAGTAAATACACTATCCCGTTGAGACCATTTGAATTCCACAGTTCTAGACTCTAGACTAGACGCCAGAGTCATGGAATTCAAAGTGGTTTAAACGAATTTTCATCTCACCTGACACCCAATCCCTGGCCCAAATATTACTTTACTATCACAGCCAGACATCAAGTCCATTGCTGAGGAATACCTAGCATCTATTAATAGAAAAGCTTCCTTTATCAAGCTTTAAAATCTGAGAATTGATAGATTTCCTGTAGGCCTATCAAAAATACATTAAAATAATGAACACATTAGGGGTATCTGGGCTGTTTTTGATATGAAGACAAAGCCCTGTATATTTAACAACTGGATAATATTTCCGTCCTGCATGATTAGCAGCATTATTGTACAAATGATGTCTGAAATCAAAAGTCTTTCTCTTCACATCAAACAGAAGTAGACTGGACTTAAGCTGATATTCCAAAAACTCTTCCACACATGCTCTACTATGGCTATATGAACTATCCTAATTTGAGAATCAGTGAAAAGTTATTCCCCATTATGTATCTTTTCTTTTCAGGGTAATATTGCCAGAAAACTGCACATCTTGAAAGAAATCACAAGCCAAGCTTTGGACTCATGTTTCCAACCCTCAAAACCTATCAAACCTATCACTTCTAGTGTTTGGTGGAGTGCTGCTGAGAACAGCTTTTGCCTCAGGGGACCAGGTTGTGGCTTGGTGAAGCTTCAGTTGGTTGTGCTAGTACAACTGACAGTGGGAGATGGCTCCATATTATTTAGGGTAAACTCCCTTCTTCTTTTCCTGATAGGTTTCCCACATTATTGTAAATTATGATTTATATCCTTCTGTCTAATGTAAAGAGGATGTCCTCAGAGGCCATCTCATTTTAGATGAAAGATATAAAGGCTTCCCACCACCTCCTATTACTAGGAGTACATTTAAAGAGCTCCTCTTCAGATCTCAGCAAAATCAGCAGAAATCTCTTCAACTTCAGTGAGTTGGATTTCCTGAAGCAATAGGATTCCTGACAGCACTTGGCTTGAAAATTTAGCTAGACAGTCTTATGCAGGCTTCCTAGGAAATGCCAGTTGCTTCAATGACATAACACTCCCATCTGCCTCATCTTGGCCCTTGCATAAACCTATACAGCAATGGTCTGGTCAGACAGCTGTTTTAGGCTGTCTTTGTGTATAACAAACTTTGGAAGTGCAACAAGGATAGACAGTACAGTAACCGTGTTGCTGAAATTACAGAAAGCAAACTTCCGTATATCCCTCTGGTGGAATGATAAGAGAGAGTCAAAGCTGGCTGCTAGCTGCGGCGTGACATCAATGGGGAAGTCGACAGAAAGATTTGTTTAACGTGCCTTCGTTTACCTCTTAGAATAATGATGCCGTTACAGTATCACCACTAAAAAATGAGTCATGTCCATTGCCACATGCAGCTCTCAGGATCTATATAAGCATTACAGCTGTGCTCTTGGCAGCCAGCAGATCACACAGTTTTGGCTTCAGCGAGGCTCCTTGGCAAGGTGGAGCATGATGCGATACCTCTTACTTTGCACTGCCATTCTCTTACCTCAGAGTTCTGCTTTGCCGACGCCATCTAAACTACAATCACAGAGCTCCACAGACTTAGAGAATATACAGGTATGTCACCAGTGGGACGGTGTATCTATATTTTGGATAATCCAATTATTTTTATTAGATGTTTTACATAACTACTAACTTTCTTTCATGTTTATTTATATTATCTTATCTTACATTAGTGCAACAATTACAAATACATTTGTAAGGTTTGCAGATGTGACAGAAAGCAGTTTAAAGCTGCTGACTGGCTTAGACTCTAGTTTGCAGACTTTTAAATCTAATTTGCAAAAGGAGTCAAGTTCCACCTAGTGAATTAAGAGAGGCATGTCATTTTAAAAACATCTCGAAAACATATATACTACCTTGGAAAGTAGTGGGTAACAACACTTGGTAAAAAATATATTTAAGAGGATTTCTTTTTTTACAGTGCCTTTATGTTATTGCAGTTCTTTGCATACATGTTACTCTATAATACAGAGAGAGAGCATTCGGTAAACTAAAATGGGAAGAACACATACAGCTAAAACTGAATGCAGCAATGCTTGCAGGACAATGAAACAATGCTATCAAACATAAAATGCAATTACTGAAAGATCACAGACATACATACTAATTTTTATTTTCTTTTTCTTCTTTCAGACATATCTTGATGAGTTCTTTCCACTTCTTAGAAAAACAGATAGCCAAAGTTTAAAAGACAGAATTAAAACAATGCAGAGTTTTTTCCACCTGACTGTAACTGGAACATTAACTGCAGAAACAAAGGAAATGATAAACCAGCCCAGGTGTGGAGTCCCTGATATAGCAAATTACAGTTTATTTCCTGGAAATCCAAGATGGGAAAGCAAGTTTTTGACTTACAGGTCAGTAGCATTTCATGTTTTATAGGGAAAAGGACTGATTAGTACCTAACTATGAGAGGTTCCTTCATACCTAAATGTTTAAATGGTATTAATCTGTTTCCTTTTGCTGCCAGGATTGTTAATTATACACCTGATTTACCCCGAGCAACAGTGAATGAAGCGATAAGAAAAGCTTTCATGGTATGGAGTGATGTGACTCCACTGAAGTTCAAAAGAGTTTATTGGGGAACTGCAGACATCATGATTGCATTTGCACGTCGTGGTGAGACTAATTCTTTCATTTTAAAATACAGTGGTTCATTTTTGACTTACAGCATGTATTTTTATAGACAGATCTTTAAGAAAGATCAAAGAGTTTAGAATTACTCTGAAGTTTGCATGGCTTATCTTCACTTTATCTTGACATCAAATTTATCAATCTATTTATTTTTATTAACTAATTTGACATCAAATTTAATTTATTTAATATTAAGAAGTAGCTTTCTCCCCATGAAACCACTAGACTTTGGGAGTTATATCTGAGAAAAGAGATTTAGTTCTGGAACAAGTCCCCTAAATCTAGGTATTCAGGGCTATGTCTGCCTTGACAAGTAGTGCAGACTAACAGGAAGAAATCTCTAGAACAAAATAGCTAGTTCTAAAGACCCAGCAGTCAGAGGATTCATATTTCAGTCAGGCTTCCCTCCATGTAGCTTTGGTTCAGTCTGGTTCCCTGGACTGAACAATCTTTGTCTATTGGGGTGCATTGGACCTGCAGAGCATCTTCTGGTGGCATTTCTTCTAGAAGGAAGCCCATGGGTGCACTCCAAGACTGCAATAAGGTACAAGGCAAAGCTTGGTAAATGCACAGTCACTTCAAAAGCTCACTTGTGATCCAAAGTAACACACAATTATAGAAATACCTTTCACTTATGCCTGCTATCTAAGCTAACTGAATTTAGCCAAGCTAAAAGCCGACTTGACTCAAGAAGTCAGCTCAGCTGACTTGTTCTCTAGATTCATTAACTATATTTACTAGACCTTCATTGCCTATAAGGAAAATCAGACACCTTGTTCACATGCAGACAACTTCAAGCAAACACCAAAGTATTCTGAGTCCCTGCTTCATTCATTTGGAAGCATATTGTGCTGCCATGAAAAGATCTCTAGGGTGCCAGCCAAAGTGAAAAAGGACCCTGCAAGTTAGAATAGGCTTTAGTCCCTCTTGTCATGTGGTGGGACAAGATCTCTTCTGCCTGTGTTAATCCTGTTCCAAGGGCTGGGACATTTCATTAATCATCTGGTGTGAGGAAAGACAAAAAATGGCATTCGATAGCCCAAATATACCTGAATTGAATCAGCCAGGTGGGTCTCCTAGAGGGGAAAGGGATTTTTTCAGGGCAAGTATAAATATTTTATCCTGACAGCTTTTGCACTAAGCGTAGGTAAAGATCAGAAATCTTTGGTTTCCACTAAAATCACTGTGAGAGTGGATGTCTACAACTGAAGTTGCCCGACACTTTCAACAGTGAAAACTTCCCGGTCCTTATGCCATCATCAAGCATTAAATATCGTTGCTGAAATAATCTCTGAACGCTTCTCAAAAACACATTTTTGGAAAAGGTTCATAAAATTTGTTCAGTGGTTTCTGATTCATACATAAAGTAAGACAGGTTCCCAAAGGGAAAAAGTAGTAAACAGTTTTGCAAGTAAGACAGTTCTGTCATACGCAGCTTTTGAACTTCAGTCATGATTTTGGGGAGTGTTTCCTACCCCGAGCTCCTTGGTTTTAAAACCCTATCTTTCTGCTATTGTAGGAAACTTTAGTAAGAAATGAAATTACACAACTAATGTAAAAGAAGTAACTTGTCAAGTTGCTGAATTTAAACATTGCAACTAATATCATCTGATGACATTTCTTTCTTTTCCAATGCAGAGCATGGTGATGGAAGTCCTTTTGATGGAAGAGGTCAAGCATTAGCTCATGCATTTGCACCTGGACATGGCATAGGAGGAGATGCTCATTTTGATGAAGATGAAGTATGGTCAGAGACCAATCGAGGTAAAACCTATATGTCTGCATGAAAAGAGGGAGAACACATACATATATAACAAGAATACAGCTATAGGAAATGCTTTTTGCAACACCAATATTTCTTTCTTTCTTTTCAACTACATTTCTGAAGTTCTGCATTTCTGCATAATGTCTGTTACATCAGGATTTTAAAGCACTTTCAAAAGCAAAACAAGGGCTGTGATCCTCTGTTTTCAACATAAAGTATGAAAAGGTACAATGAATGACTTGTGGGAATAAGGATGGCTAACGGGACAGTTTAAAATAACACATAAGGCCTCTTCATGCTTATTCATGGTATCAGCAGTGTTTTTACTAAAATATTGGAATTAAATAGGAAAATTCAATTTAAAAACTGTCAGAAGTCTGTAGTTTCAATTCAAGGGAATGAATGATGCAAATTCTCCTGCTTATTCAGACTGTATGCTAAAAAGAAATGACATGTTTTTAATATTGTTTTGTATGCTTCTGTGCTGTAGGAGTTAATTTGTTCCTTGTTGCTGCTCATGAATTTGGCCACTCTTTGGGACTTGCCCATTCAAATGTCCCTGGTGCTCTGATGTACCCTACGTATACGTATACGAACCCCAAAACCTTCCAGCTTTCAGAGGATGATAAGCGAGGAATTCAGAAGTTATACGGTAAATTCATAATGAGATTTGATTTGAATATATAACCTACCGGGGTACAGCTTTCACTCTCTCCCTGATTGCAAGGGCCTCCTCATATTACGCAAATCAAGTGAGGGAAGAAAATTGCAGGGAAAAAAAGCCATTCCGCTGCATTCATCCACTGCCATTTCCATATTGCTTCTCACAGAGCAGCAGGGCAGGAGGCCTGGCACACTGAATTTGACTACGACTGCACATTGCAGAACAAATCCTGGGGACCATAGTCAGTAAATGAGCCACTTACTTAAATGAGTGGGCTACTGGGTGACTAAGGTTTTGCTCCATGAGAGATACTGTCCCTCTCACCAAGTCAGTGGCACAGCTCATTGGATGTGAAAACTACTCTGCATTAGCAATGAGGCACAACTGGAATTGATCCCATGGTGTAAATTTTGCTAGAAGCACTTTGCTTCAAGCATCGCCTTCCCCAGACCACACAAGAGGAAAACAATGAGAATAAAATATAGTTTTCTAAAGTGTCCATTTTCAGTATAATGTATCTGATTTGTGTTTCTTTCCAACAGGGCGCAAGTCTGTGAATTCTTGAAGAGAGCGTTTCAAAAAAAACCAAAGAATTCATCTCTAGTACTTGTGGGTGTTCTAAAAATATTTTTCTCTTCTGGATAATCAAAGGAGAAGCTCTTGAACTTCACATTACAATCCTGATTTTTATATGGATGTATTTACACTTTATACAATTTGATTTGATTATTATTAAAAAAAAAAAGCTTAAATATTGTCTGATGTGTTTTCTTGGGGGTGGCATTTCACTGTTGGTGGTTCCTGCACATGCAATACAGACAGGCAAATATCTTTCTGAGTGGAGGCCGAGGTGCCTATGGGGCCTGTGAACACCTACTGCTGGAAATACAAACTATACTCCTGTCTTCCTTCCAGTTCCCAAGTGTGTCCTGTCCCTTTCCAGGCCTTGCTGATGCCTCCTCAAAATCACACTGTGCTTCCTATTCAGCTTGCACATAGAAGAGGTCATCTTCACGATCTTTCTTTTAGCCTGGGCTGTGCAGTTTCCTCACAGGAAACAAGCTGATCTCCTAGTGGCTCTGGATGGTTGCTAGATCTGGGCAAGTGTCCCTGAGGACCTGAGCTACTGCCCGTTGCTGAGAGGAATGGCCTATCTACTTTCCATACTTTAAGAGGTGGAATGCCACAGAAAAATGCACCAATGTCTGTAAAATCCTAGGACAGGGCAATCATGCCTTCCCTGCCTCCTGAGCAAAGCATCACCTGAAAAACTGGAAAGCCTCCACAGAGACAAAGTGATTAAAACGACTCACTTTGCACAAAAGTACTAGTCTACAAACACTGGGGCTTCTTTGCATATCGAGCAAGCAGAACTATCATGCGAGCACAGAAAACTATTCCCATTTATGCTCAATCTATATATAGTTCCTGTTATGCTCAATCTATATACAGAAGCTCTCTTTTGGGAAAACAGCTGCTACTGCCACAATTCATGTCCAACACACTCCTTAGACATCTTAGAGCATGGGAGAGCCAGCCAAGGAAAAGAATCATTCTTTGGGGGAAATAACACTTAGACACATCAAAAGAATAGTAGATTTCTGGCTGGGTCAACTCAGGCTCAAGGAGAAAAGGATACATACATTCTTTCCTGCCGTGTCTCCTAGCACCCTCCTTGCTGTCCTGTGGGAAGGTGGGTGCAGTATCTGCAGGTCCCAAGGCACTTGGCACAAGGCTGAGCTCTGGCTCCCCAGCCCAATGCTGCTATACCCTCCATCAGCCAGAGCTGATGGTTCATTGGAGGAAGCATCCCAGAACATGACTTCTCATTTCAAGCATTTGTAACTGAGCTATGCAATATCTGCTTCCATCTAGTGGTGCAGCTCTGCAAGCTCTGCACTGGCTCGACACCTTTTTGTAACACGGATTTTATCTGTTCACAAGCCCACGGCACTTCCAAGAATACATATCACCATTAAGGGAAATCAGAGACAAGAACAGTGCTAGCAAGGAGTGCTGCCTCTTCCTCATTCACTTAAGATTCTACTGCATCCAGAGCAGAATTTTATATGATATCTTAGTACATACCTGAGGAACAATAAGCACATTAGGTTATTTCAATTATTTGTTGTTGAAATTATTATTTCAGTTATTTAAATTGCATATTTGGAAGACATTATGTCTCCTCCTTTGCTACAGGAGGAGAAACGGGTAATTAAATAGCATTTGCTTAGATAGGGCTTTTAAGTTTTTGCTTGGTGCATTACTGCCCTGTTAACTAATAATAATAGCGGCCAACAGTGGCCGACACCCCTGAGGACTGTGCTGCCATTCAGAGAGACCTAGACAGGATGGAGAGTTGGGCAGAGAGGAACCTTATGAGGTTCTGTAAGGACAAGTGCAGGGTCCTGCACCTGGGGAGGAATAACCCCAGGCAGCAGGACTTAGGGGTTGACCTGCTAAAAAGCAGCTCTGCAGAGAGGGATTTGGGAGTCCTGATTGACAGCAGGTTAACCATGAGGCAGCAATGTGCCCTCGTGGCCAAGAAGGCCAACAGGATCCTGGCTGCATCAGGAGGAGCGTTGCCAGCAGGTGGAGGGAGGGAATCCTGCCCCTCTACTGAGCTCTGGTGAGGCCGCACCTGGAGTATTGGGTGCAGTTCTGGGCTCCCCAGGACAAGAAGGACATTGAGCTTCTAGAGAGAGCAGAGAGCCACAAAGATGATTAAGAGACTGGAGCATTTGTCATATGAGGAAAGACTAAGCGAGCTGGGCCTGTTTAGTCTGGAGAAGAGAAGGCTGAGAGGAGATTTGATCAACGTTTTCAAGCATCTGAGGGTGACTGTAGGGAGGATGGGGCCAGGCTCTTCTCAGTGGTGGCCAGTGACAGGACAAGGGGTAATGGGTACAAGTTGAAACGCAGGAAGTTCCACCTCCATATGAGGAGGAACTTCATGACTGTGAGGGTGACAGAGCCCTGGAACAGGCTGCCCAGAGAGGTTGTGGAGTCTCCTTCTCTGAAGATCTTCAAAACCTGGATGCCACCCTGTGCCACGTGCTGTGGGTTCCCTGCTGGAGCAGGGGGGTTGGACTAGATGATCTCTAGAAGTCCCTTCCAACCTTAACCATTCTGTGATTCTATGAATAATAAAAAGAGGTTTTAACACAGGTTTGTTATTCCAAATGACCAGCAAATGGACTTGGGAGACAGAAGTGGCAACATTTAATGTTGGTCCTTTGGAATGACTTGACTGGCAATGAACCAATTATTTGAGTATCTTGAACCTATTCTATCAATGTAGAGTAAAACTGCGAGACCATTAAGCTGATGTGATCATAATTCTATACAAGAGGTGAATAGGATCTGTAGGCAGAAACTAGTCGTAATTAGTTAAAAATTACTTTCAATTCACGTTACATTAGTAATCCTATCTAATCCTACTGTCTGCTGTGTAATCAAAGACTAAGTGAAAATGCATTTGTTTGGAGAACTTACAGTGCACCATTTATTAACCTTTTTGCCTTTGAAAGTTTTTTTCAATAAACTTGTCCTGTACAAATTTATTTATACAAACAGAAATATGTTCAAAATAGATCTGATGATCATAAATTGAAACAAAATCATAAATTAATTACATTTAATCCACAGCTGCCCTGTGAATGAGTGACACTCTGTCCCAGGAACTGTTTTCCTCTGAAACCCTAGAAAATTAAACATTTCCAGGAGATATGGGAGGTTAAAATGGGCATAAAGGTACTTTCATTTATCTCTTGATTTAATTTAATAATTTTCCCAAGGAACAACCTACAGAAAAAGAAAAACAGCAGTGAAAAGACTGAAGTACCATGAATAGAGACAGGCATCTAAGAAATACATATTTGCTTCATGTTCTCGGCTACAGGATGGTGGTGCTCCAACACACAAAGTGAACATTAAGTCCAGTTCTGAAGTTTATGCAGCTTTCAAATCTTTTTACTTTCTGTTACTCCATGTGCTTGAGATCATGTCATGAAGAGTATATGTTTCCAGAACCTTTTTCTTTTTTTTATGAAATATTTCTGCACACAGCATTAACAGTGATATTCAACAGAACCTGTCTGATTTAATTCTTGAGGAGATTTACAAGTCTGGTATCAATCATTTGAAGGCAGGAGGCTTCAAATAGAGGACCGATATTAGAAAACACTTTCAAAAGGGAGATGGCACTGAGCAGAAGAGCCAGTCAACATAAACTCCTGTTCAGTACATTTTCATTACTGAATTCAATCTGAAATTTGGGATTTTTTTTTTTTTTGCCATAGCTGATGCTAAACTGCATTTGCACAAAAAATAGTGTATGCAATGACATTATATTTTGAGATTTGACTGTGGTAAGAAATCTGATTACACATACAGTTAGTTGTTCATATGTGCAAAGTAAAACTATAACTAAAATATCTACAGTGATTTTACTAGGCACATTTTCTTTACTGGTGGACAAATTGTATATTTTAAAGCTCTCTTTGGAAACCAATTTAAATAATTGGTACAAGCAGAATTCAGTGTATTTATTTTCTTCACACAACTACTTCTGAATTAAGAAAATGAGATCTAATATTTGCAATTCTTTGTTGAAGTAGGTGTGAACTTCATTTTAAATTATGTATAAGAAAAAAAATGACAACATTGTTACTTCTTCTGTGCCAAACAATTAACCAATAACTATAGTCTTATACTAAGTGGTGCTATATTCCATTGGGGAGTCTCAAAGGAGAAGAGAGAAGCTGATAAAAAATCTAGGTATACCTTTTATCTTATAAACTGATTATTGAAAGTTTAAATGGTTCAAATACTGAGGAAAAAAGAAAAAAGAAAAAAAATAGTAAATACAAAAATCCATCCCTCGTGGCCCTCCTGACCCAAAGATTACTTGAGGCAAAGGAATCACCACTCTATGCTTCTCCTATTTTAATACCTTTGTCTAGGTCCCAACACTGAGCTACACAAATGTGTTTTGGCCTAGCACAGTAGTTCTTATATTTGACTCACTTTTTACACTTTTTACAGGATATATCCTTAAATTCAACCCGTTTTTTCAGGCTTCTTTGCAATAAGTACAATAACTAAATGCTCTCTCCTGCACTTCTTTTACACAACTATTTTACCAACCTACCTCTCCCTACCTTCACCTGGCTAGTTAGTAACTGACTTATCTCATCACTTTCCTCAATATTTCTCTTTTTTCTTCCTCATTCATACATACGTGTATGCACCTAGGACTATTTTTGCTCCTCAGCTGAACAGTAAAAATATATTTGCCTCTACTGGCTGCTATTCCTAAGGAGAGAGACAAGGCTCCTAGCCCATGCTGCATTCGGATGCAGCAGAAACCTGCCCTCCAAGAGCTGAGCCCCCACTCCAGCTCTGCGTGGGAGCAGAGTTCGCTCATGGCTTTTCTCTCTTTCTGCTTCCGTTTTGCAGTGGGGCTTAATTACTACATACACCGGTAATAAGGGAATGAGATCTCCAGAGAATAATTTAATGGCATCAGTATCAGAAATACCAGCCTTAGTTATATAAATTTAAACTGCTTCAGGTAAAAAGCTGACAGATACATGAGGGGATAAGCCACAAAAGAATGAGCTGTGCTCTGCCCCAGTACCATGCTCTTGGCTCTCCCTCAATAGTGTTACCTGGAAATTTCACCCAATCTGAATATGATTTTCTCTGTTTTTATAAAGTTATATCTTAGACATTTCAACAAAATCTGCATCAAACAGGATGTTCTTAGTGGTGTAATGCTTTCAGTTCAGCAGTGTCAATCCATAGTAACACAACTGACGTCAATGGAATTATTTTGCATGTATTTATCAGAGTAAAAATGTTAGTGAAGGACTAGAGAAAATATTATCTGTTTTGATTATTGTTACGGCAGGAACCACCAGAAGACAGAGAACTCCAGATAACCACTGCTTGTTGGAAAAGGCTGGGAAAAATTATTTGGTGGGGGGAAAATTGTTAGTGTTTCCTGTTCAGTTCTAAAAATAAAGATCATGAACTAAAAACAAGAAGCAGAACTAAAAGCAACAGCTGATGAGGGATACAGGAAGATATGGAAGATATAGAAAAGCAGAGAACACTACAGACGTTCGACTTGGATACAGGGAGAGATACGATAGAGGGCATACACTGAATGTTATGAAATATTCATTACTTATTATAACACAAAAAGTAAAGTGCTCCCAGCTAAATGTTGATGGAGATTTTAAATGAAGAACAAAGTAGTCTTTTGCACAGCAAATATCCCAGGTGTGGAATTCACTTACATAGGGAATGTACACTGTGGAGATCCAAATAATAAATGGATCTAGTAGGACTTAGACATATTTCTGTAGGATAAGGGATATTAAGCATGAAGGTCTAGGAGCAAATGGCAGCCCACTGACTGGTAAAGGAAAGATCAGTGTAAACTTATCCAGTTGTTACGCTGTAAATCTTGCTTTAAGCAAAAGGAAACACTTTATCTGCAAAGCCAAGAACTGTTAATGTAACTGAAATCTCAGCAGCCTACTATCAAAGAACTACTATTATTCCAGATAAAATATTATAAAAAAAAAAAAGGAAAAATAAATAGTAACACAAAAATAGCCTCAATAATAACACAGTCAAAATGGTTATGCACACACACATCCCACTTCTTATCCCTTTCCCTGCTGTTGTGCTCCCCCCTTGCCGGACACCTTTGGACCCTGAGGCTGCAGATGTCACTCTGAGGGCAGCGTTACAGAGGCAGCAGGGTCGAAGGCTTTACCAGGGCGTTCAGGTGCTGATGCTGATGGTTTCTTCTTCTTCACCTGGAGTTACTTTTATAATTTTGCTAACACACTTTCACATCTTGATGCTTTTACATTGGTCTGTAAACTCTACATTACATCAAAAAGTACTCTGTATGGTGATTTAGTTTACGTTAGATATTAGATCTTTGGTTTTCGTTACCCTGTGATACCGGTTTTGCTGAGTTTCCAGGTGTACATTTCTTTAACAGACAACTGGTGAGCAGCAGCTTTTAGCCCGGAGTCTGGTGATATCCTGTGCCCTTTTCTTATCATGTCTGCATTCCTCTATGCTAAAACCTGTGATCCCCCTTTTGGACTTCTGCTATTAACCCTATCTATATGCACCATTATGGTAGGGCCATAAATACTTCATGCTACAGAGACTAACTATTTGTTAGTGCCAACTGTATAAAATAAAGTAGACCACACACTTTTACAAAAACAAGCTAAAGCAAAACCAATTAGGCAATACCCACCTGGCCATTAGAAAAACATCCTGTTAGAGCTCAGCAAACTAAAACAAAGTTCCAGGCAGGGAGAAACAAGTTCAGACAACACCTGACAAGTGCTAGGGCTCTGCAGAATTAGCAGGAACCTTATGAGCAGCTACTAGCAGTGGCTGTGTTGTGTGCAGACCTGACCATGGGTTAGACGGCCCTGACCCCAATGGCCAGTCTCATCTTGCAACCTCCCTGGAATACAGAAAGGAGAGATTAAGGAGAGAGATAGAGCTCCTGTGGCAGACAGCCTTGGGACAAGGCACCAGCTAAGGACTACTTTCAGAATCACAGAATGGTTGAAGTTGGAAGGGACCTCTAGAGATCATCTAGTCCAACTCCCCTGCTCAAGCAGGGACAGCTAGAGCACGTGGCGGCATTCAGATGAGTTTTGAACATTTCCAGAGAAGGAGACTCCACAGCCTCTCTGGGCAGCCTGTTCCAGTGCTCTGTCATTAACAGTAAAGAAGTTCTTCCTCACATGGAGATGGAACATCCTGTGTTTCAATTTGTACCCGTAGTTAGATTATAGGTAGAGCATATCTGTTCCTATAGACCTAATAAAATGTTTTCCAGCATTAGTAAAGATGTAAGGCATGTGGATATCTTCCAGAAAAATGGCTTCTAAGTAGTTACTATTTTCCACAGCTGATGTTTGAAGGAGATAAAATGAAACATCTGCCTCAATAATGTTTCAGAAGACAGAAGATACAGGAGCACAGTAGGATACAGAGGGAGGAGATTTGGCGCTCCCTCTTTGACAATCCTGCTCCTCAAATGTGTGTGCCCACATATCAAGCGAAGACAGCAAAGATGAGGAAAAATATTGACAAACCTTTACATATATATATATATATATATTCTGTAATATAGAATATATATAGAATATATATACATATATTCTATAATCACAGAACTAAATGAGTTTACCACCATGGTTTTTCACAACTTCAGGCTTTTGCCAGGAAGCTGTGGTTACAGCGCAGGCGGGCAGCAGACAGCATGGCAGGTTGCATGGGGGAGACGCAGAGCAATGAGCTCCCCTGTCCCCAGAAGCAAGGAAGGGCTGTGGCAGCAGAGGGACTCTGACTGCTGCTGAAACATCAGCATCAAGGAATGGTTTCTGTCCTTCAACAGCTCATTCACAGCCTGACTTTGACAACACCACTTACATCCACTGCTGTTTCACAGTCATAAAAAAACAGTGGGCTGGCTGCCTCCGTGGGAGGAGGCATCCTAACAAGGCAATGGATCGCCTTCAGAAATGATAAGAGACTGATAAATGCAACCCATCTGTGAACTCCAATGCCAGAGTAGATAAACTTAACAAAAATAGAAAGACAACAAAAGACAATAAACACTGATGAGGGAAACAGAGACAAGGAGACCGGGATAATGCAGAAGAGGCCAACAATCCATTGTTCCAGCTTCAGGAACACCATGTCAGGTAAGCAAGAAAAAATGAGACCAATGAGTAAAGGAACAAAACTCTTAAGGTGGAAATCAAGGTTTGATGTGAGAACAAAATAATAAACAACTTGGTTATGCCATCACTCCGGTCCACTTTGGGATCTTAAAAAGCATGTTGGGAAGAATGACTAGGATGTAGGCAGGGCTGAACTGGAGGCCAGGGCAGCAGGACCATGACCACAGTCTGTGCCTGGGCCCATCACAGGTCCTGCCATATCTGGTGTCTGCTGCCACCTCTGCTGCAGGAGGAGGACGTGCATTCAGCTCCCACTTGGCCACTAGGCCAAGACTGACTAGCGAGCAGGGAGACTTCACCATATTAAACAGAGAACAATGAGCTGCTAGGGCCACACTGCAACCCCAGCACCCTCTCACCTTCTTGGACTCTGACAACACCAACAGAAGCTGCTTGCCTCACTTCTTTTCATTGAGCAAAATAATAATGATTTATTATTACTTTATTATTATTCACTGTAATGTTACTATATTTAACGCAGCTTCTCCATGCCTACTTGTGAAAAAAAAATAGAAAAAAGTAGTAATCATCATGATGATCAAAATACTATTCTTCAAGGGAACAGAAGGGCAAGTACTGTTTTATAAAATGGACTACATTCTGTAACATACAAAAAGCAACATGCTTCCCTCCCAGTTCTGTAGGATCAGCAAACATGCTGAGTGAGTGCTCCATCCCTTCATCCAGGCCACTGATGAATCACTTGGATGGGATTGGACCCAGTACTGACCCCTGGAGGCACCACTAGCTACAGGCCTCCAACTAGACTCTGCTCCAACCCTTTGAGATGTATTTCTGTCCTCTGCTGACAGTTTTTGTGAGTTACCTCTGCTTTATGGCTCCTGTTTGGCTTCACCTGCACCATCTGTACAAAGCCATGTATCACGGACAATGTGGATCTGAGATGCGTACATGTAGGATCGATAGATTTTGATGATTCAGTTTGGGGATTTTTATTCCTAATACTTATACAGATATTTGAGCAGATACACATCTATCTCACCAACAGAAGGGCAATCTTCATCAAACAAGGACATTCCCCTAATAGGTCAGTCTGCATCCTTGAATGAGCTGCCTAAATGTCAGTGCACCCTTAGGACACTAACAGGCCTTCGCTGCCCTGACCAGCCTCACCTGGCATCTCCATCCCCTCACTGATCCAAGAGCTCCATTTCAGGCCAGGCTTGGACCTTTGATCCTTGCTAGAGCCACATCGTAGCTATGTCTGTACCCAGCCCTGTCATCCCCTGCCCTGGGTTAGTCACTCCTTTTCATGGATGGACTCCAGACCTATAATGTAGGTAGTCTTCTCTCCAGTCCTGTTCATTGGATCAATCTTCTCATAATCTTGTTCCAACCCATCTCCCAACTGTACCCAACTGAACAATGACCTGAATGGACACTGGACCAGACTCATCACCTTGCTTTGTCTGGTGAATCCCTGCAGGGTCTGGTGGAGCCTGCACTGTCAGCACCCTGATCCTGCTCAGGTCCTGCAGGACTGCACCCTGGGCAGTGAGGATGCTGCTCCTGCCTGTGCTGCAGCCATCCCCAGCTCTGGCTCATGGGAGTGGGGTACTCCCACTCTTGATGTTCCCTGACACTGAATATCACATACAAATTCAAGAAAACATAAAAATATCCTCATCAACCCTATTTTTTTATGCAGAAAACTATATGGAAAATCATTAATTATACCATGCATTGAATATTTCACTAAATATTCCCAGAATGTTACCATTCCATCGGCATATGAACAACTCTCAGTCACCCCAGACCTATTGTCAGAAACAGACTTGTGCAGAATGAGAACTACCAAATCACACAGAATCACTGAATGGTTGAGGTTGGAAGGGACCTCTAGAGACGGAACATGATAATGCCAAAGCAACAAATGCAAAACTCTCTGAACCTTAGTAAAAGCCCCACAATATTTTTACCTACCCCTTAGTTTCTGCTAACTCATCAGTCTTTTCCAGGAATTACCTACCTGCCTCTAACTCTGTTTCACAAGTCTAGAGGTTTTCTTTATCCCACATATTGTAACCGCACTTTTTCCCAGTTTTCCCACAGCCAGATAAGTTGATAAACAGATTTTATTCAGAGCCATGTTATTAACAAGGAGAATAAATATACTCCTCACTCTTGAGGTTCTAGAAGATGATTTTAAAACAGTATTTAGAAAAACAGTAGACGTTTTCATGCAGTTTTGTGAGCCTTTTTTGTCCATATTCAATACTCCCAGCGCTTCACCTGTTTACACTGGTGCTTGCATCCACATTTAATTCCTATTCCAGCATCATCTCTGTGTACATATTGTGAAAGTACATATTTTATTTCACCTACTAGCTCTTCAGGTTTATATTCCCTCAAGAAACGTGTAGAAGGGGCACTTCGGGATATGGTTTAGCAGACGTGGACTCGATGGTATTGACGGTCTTTTCCAACCATAATGATTCCATGATTCCATAGCACTTCGCTGTCTGTCCCCTCTCTACCGCGCTGCCTGCTGCAAACCCGGGTTTAACCCGGGCACTTGGCGCCCGCCCCCCCCGCAGGG